AATCTGACTACCCCGAACTACTAGTTTGACCTACTTAGTTGACCTCACAGTCATTGCAAGGTATTTTGTTTAATTGGGTCAATCTACAGGGTGCTTCGCCCTACAGAGCTTGTCCTACCTGAGTGAGTTTGTAGGTTCGAATGCCACCCTAATTCCTGCTTTATTGAGCATCCTACGTAAGGAGGGTCTCAGATGTCCCCTCTTTATATGGTTTAACTGTAGATGACTTATATTCTCTCTTATTTATTATTATTTATTATTACTAGTTTCACAATTATTTTTATTTTGTCTTTGACCTTTAATGTTCTTCCTAATGAATTTTATTAGATAGTTATTCATCACCAACGCCTCTTCTTCTATCTGTTTCATTTCATCATTTAGGTCTTTTTTGTGCTACTTAGTGTCACTTCTCGTTTTGTTAGACACTTAACTAAACCTGCCTTAACAGTTAACGGATGAGATGAATTAAAGTTCAAAATATCTATTAGAATGCGTTGGCTTTTTATAAACGCCGCTAGTGTGCAGTCTACCTTCTTCTATTTGTTTTATTTTACAATCTAACATAACTAATTCTCCTTGTCCATTTTATGATTCAAATGTGAATTTTATTCCCTCTACTAGTGAGTTTATGCGTGTAAAGAACCGTGAAATATGTTGTGTTTTTACACTGTGAAAGTGTCATCCATATACCTCCGCCATATTTTTTTAGAGTAGCATTAAATATATTGAGGGCACTATTTTGTTCATCGAGTCTACACCCAACAACACATGCAATAGGAATGAGTCATCACTCATACCTGAAATATGGAAAATACTATTATCAATCAAATCAAGTGAAAATCAAGTGAAAAACAATGGAACTATATAAATGAAGTTAGGAAGTCGTGTGAGTACCTTGATATGATTATGAGCAATAAATTGTGCTCGAAACGTCATCAATAAACATTACTGTATAACACTGTGAGACTTTATCAAAACAAAATTTACCCATAATGGAATTATACTCTACCACAGTGCACAAGTTTTATTCTTATATCAATGATACATAGGGAAACAGTTACGTGCCCCCGGAGCTGTAAGTTCCATCACGAACATAAAGGAAGATTAACCATAAAAATAATCTGCCTCTTCCTCTGCTTACCCCTGAATTGCTCATAACAGGGAGGTATAATTCAATCAGTCACTCCAATTTGCACAATATAACAAAATACAGCTGATATTCTGACTACGGAACTATCTTATGAGATAATCCTGAGAAATTAAATTACCTTTCTCCCTATGTAATTTCGACTACTAACAAGTAGTTACAAGCGTGCACAAAGTTTTATTGGGCTTCAAACTTTGGTTCAACGGTGGAGTTGATTTATTTTAAGAGGGATACTTCGTTAGCTAACATCACTGGTTATTTGTTTTCCCACAGTTAATGACTTCATCGATGTTCACTTTAGGAGACAAAATGCAACAGGCAGTCTCCATTATCAACCAAAGTTATCATCTTGCATCTGTCTCCACATAACAACTGATGGACTGTGATGTTGATAACTTCTCACTAAAACCTCGAAATATACATTTTGAGGCAGGTCTGTAATGAGGAGTTGATTGATTTTTAAGTACTGAGAATTGGCAGCAGGAGTGTGAGTTCACCGTGCGTCGGTAGTGAAGAGGCAGAATGGTCTCCAACTACGCTACACGTAGTCTATGCTTCGATTCCCAGCCGACTCACTCGCAAAACTCGCTTAGCTGGTAATAATTCAGGCAAAGAGGGAAGGTTGGGCATGAGACTATCAACCCCACCCCTAAAAATACGATAACTGGTATTGAAACTCCAGTGATCTTTCTTGAAGTCCTATGTTCCACTGGAACGCAAAGCAATACAATAATTATAATAGTATGAGTTCACAAATTATTAATTCTCTGCCTGACAGCATAATACTAAGTAGCTTGCACATTAGCCTGAAGTTTTGTCCATGTTTGGATCAAAAAAGGAAAGCATTGTTAACTGATGTCACCATGTGTGGAAATCACTTTGAACTAGATCTTATAAATGAAATACCACAGGTTTTCATATAAAAGTACTTCTGCATTTAATTTCTCAATTCGATGTAGGCAATCACTTTAATCTTGGAGAAGCAGGGAGACTTTCATCTGAAATAATTTGTATGAAGTTTTTAAAAAACTTTCAGTTATACTATTTACTGCATTGATAGTTGTCACTCAGTGATGTTGCCAAAAATAATTTGAGTTCCATAGTTTTTCAGGTGTCACTGTGTGCACATGTGATCAGGAAGAACACGATAAATCTGAAACTAATTTCACCATACCCGTCGTTGTCAGTGTCGGAACCAACTCCTGTGATTCCTAGCATACTACATGCTACTATATGTGATTTGATCAAGACGAAATACTAATTAGGGTTGCAAGGATGCATGATTTAAGCATATTTGCACCTTGGTTTTGTTACCTATATCCAACTGTCTTCTCATATTAGGATGATGAATCTAAGAAACATCCTTTTCACAACCCAAACATAGGCCCTTAGGTGGGTTTGATAGTGAGCATATCCCCAAATCACATAAAATGCTAGAAGTGCGTGGTAAACAGAGTGAAGCTGTTAGATTGTGTGCATTAAGGATTTCAGCCACTAAGTTGGAGGCGATTTACGCATTATTTCTAACTGTTATCAACCGATATTATTAGTGAGCAACTGTCATTTGAATCACTTTGTTAGTCTACAAAAATCAGATTGCATTTAGAAATCCCTTTTGCATCTGGTCTCTGACTGTCCTGAAATCAGAGTGGTTATCACATCGTATTCACACGTTTAACAATAATAACAGCGTTATACAGATTATGAACTCTGCACTGAGCCAGCTTCCATATCAGTGGTGATTCTTGTTTCCCAAAATAGTTTCTATTTCTAGTGCATTTGAACACGACGCATTGACTAGTTTCTCGGATGCACCTGGTTAATCACGTCTAAGTCCGATATCGCTTCTATTATTTTGCCACATGGTGGATAGCTTTCCGACAGAATTACTTTACCCATGGAATGTAATGATCTGCATTCCCTTCTATTCATTGCCATTACCGAATATTTGGCGCTAATACATACACACACACACTGAAATAAAGATTTCAAAGACAGAATTACTCTAAATGTTTGAACATTGATGCTGTAAATTTTGAATAGCATATTCAGGTTTGAGCAAGTCACAATCAAAAGGCTAGTCGAAGTCCATTTTGACCTGTGATTGTGGTTAAACGGTAATTAGCTGACTAGAGACATACACGGTCAAGGTGATGCTACATACACAACAATTAGAGATTACAATTTGTTCTAATCAAAACCAGAGCAAGACTATGCACGCATTTATATTCATATATGAAATGTATTCGAGATATATATTATGGAAATCACTAATTTTGGATGTTTCATTGCAAATATGAACTAAGAATGACTTTGAACGTTATGAAAATTTCAAAACTATGAAAAGAAGAACAGTTCTGATATGTGGTCCAACCTTAAACCTTAAATTCCAGTTAGACACACGAATATTACGTCACTATCACTGATGTGGAAAACATTCTTTTTTAGTTTATTTGGCTGAATTTCAGATTAGAAGAAGAACAATGCCTAAATATCCATGTGCGTCGGTGGCACAGTCAGTAAGACTCTCGCCGACCATGCACATGGTCCGAGGTTCGATTCCCTGCCAACGCACACCTGATATCTATGATCGGCCTGCAAAATTTGGGCTACCAATGTCATATGCTGAAAATTCCACACTTGTACCAAAAATACGGTGTGGAATCAAGCTGTAATTAAAAATTAAAAAAATAAAAATGCAACTGGTATACACGCTTATCTTCTCAATGAATCTAATGCCAGGTGTATTACAAAGTCTAGTGTTGAAAAAACTGCATCACCAAACATACAAGCTTAGGGAATACTGGATAGTTGACTCTATGAAATTACCTTTGAAAGACCATGGATTAGAATACTTCAAGATATTTCATAATTGTATTCATAAACATGTCTCTCTATTGAACAATTCTTCGTAATGATTTCACAACCATCGGTTGTGGAATGCAAACTTAAAGAAGACTGTTAAAAATGTTACTTTATTACTCTCATTATTATTACACAGAATATCTGAACCCACCGGTCCTCTGAATTCCCAAACTTTTATTCAGCATATTCACTAGCATGATTCTGATCAGTACATAGGAAATAGCTCTCAGGCACAAATAACAAATTTAATTGGTGGATGGTGACTAGCAGTGGAATCAAAGATGCGATTTTGTCCTATTTGGGACTGGTCACCCGGATGTACCTGCATTTCCAAGTGAGTGATGATGTTCCCACCTAGGCTCGAACCCAGTGACCATAGTTTCAAACTCCAAAGCGTTATCCACTAGATGAAATATACAAATAACAAATGTTGGATAAAGGTGGAAATATATCAGATATAGATTACAGGTTTCGAAAGTAGATTGTATATATGAAGCGTTATCAATTAGAGACATGCATATAACTAAATCAGACTAACAGGGGATTAGTCATGCCTTAAACAACTCTGAGGAACATTCATTAACTTCGGAACATTGTGAAACAGGTTTGAATATCAGTGGGAATAAAGCTTCTCCTCATAATTACAAATTGGCGTAAAACCTCAAACGTATAGATTACTACCAAATTATCCCATCCAAATTCAAAAATTTACTTGTATCAAGGAAAGAAACTTTTGGAGCACCTCTCCTTTAAGAAATCAGTTGCATTGAGGTACTGAGAAAATATCCTCATAAAAGAGAATAAGTTGATTGTTAGCCAGTTGTTTAACACATGTTAGCTGAACTGGTTCAAGCAACTATCCTTATTGGTGATAACTACACCCTTAAGGAAGCTTCCTAATAATTGCTTCTTCAGCCGTTGAGAATGAAGTTTCATTTTATTTTAGAATAGGGTTTAAATGGAATACGACCGTTACTTCACAACCTACCTGTCGTTCTCAGGGTCTAGGTAACATGATGCTGCATGAGCAAGAGTAGTTTCATCACATGCTCCTGAATTGCTGCTGTCAATAATTAGAATAAAATCGTTTGGGCTTATCCCAGAACCTTTAGGAAAGACCTGATCTAATTTGCCATTGTGCAATTCATAACATTCCTGTTTTAAGAGAAAACATATTAACATATATATATATATATATATATATATTAAGAGTGTGAAATATTCTCATATCTTGAATCAAAACTCGGTCTGAACGAAGAGAATATCCTTTCCAATGAATTCTCTTCAGGTTGTTAAAGTTTTAAAATAAAAATCCCCCTGGTGGGTTTCAAGTTATGTAATAAGTCGGATTAGCCGCGTGTGTCTGCACATTCCACAATTCTTATCAGCTTGTTTCAGTATGGGAGAAATCAAATGCATAAAAGATTCACCCCTATCATACTTCATCAGTATAGGACATCTCGTAGTCGCTAGAATAGTCATCAAGGTTATACGCCATATTTCAAAGTCATTATCGTGCACAGTTTGCCTACGACGCCTAAAAATAGCTGAAGATGTTACAATGAGGTCTTCCAAACCGGAAATTTTTATTCAAAAAGGACACTCAGAAGTTGTTGCTATCAAAGTCAAGACTGGATATTTGTTCTTCACTACACGCCTCTACCTGTTTGATTTCAGATATTAATTATTTCATGATGAACTGTTCACATTCTATTTCGCCTTTAATGTTTGCTACTATGTACTCTCTACTCGCCGGATATCGTTATGAATTTAACTGGGGATTTATATCAGCAGATGGAGCACTAGAAATCAGAGAGTTCATTCTAGTTTAGGCCTCTTTGTCGGTACGCACCCATGACAGTACTAAGTGTTGGAATCTTCACCCTTAGGTTAGAGGGGACTTCGTTGACCGTCCACTCACCTTGTTGGAATCCATTGGCTCATGAATCGTAATTTCTGTCACTTGATGGACTTCACTGACTAGAATCCATCGGCTATCTATTTCATCATGTTGCTGGATAGCCAATGGGCTCACCTCGTGAGTAAAATTCCCTGCAGTGACATGGCTGCATGAATCTGAAGAGTCTACACCAGGGAGAGACAGCTATCTAGTACGCCCTAGTTTTCAATGGATCTATAACTGATACGAATCCGTTATCAAACTTAAAGTTAATCGAAGCCCTGTGAACTAGCTCTTGAAAACAGCCCTTTGACAAATATGATATGAGTTGTCAGTTTTCCTTCCCCATAATGTATGATTCTATTGCGACTTACAATCATCCTTGCCTCGTATTTCACAATATTTTATAAGTGCATATATCTCACTATGTTGTGACACAGATACTCTTTATTGTGTCACCCTAAAAACAATTTGTGTCCACTGCATAACTCACTGTTAGTGTAATTACAAATGTATTTTGTAACTTTAAGAACCTGAAAGGAATTCGATGACAAGAATATTTCCCCTTTAGATCAAAATTCGCAGTTTCTGAAGTAGTTTTATCAAAGTGCTTCGGTAGCTCAGTGGTAGAATGATCACAAGCCAGGCAGCTGATCCGTGTTCCATTGCCCGGAAAAGATTGGAAGTGTTGTTAACAACCGCCTTCCGTACAAAACACAACACAGTTGCTAGAAGTTCAAAAAGACTTGAAGCCTTGTGCTCTACTCGGAATGCAAGAAATGATATATAAATACTGAATACCTTTTCAATTGTGGCAATGAAATTTCTCAAGTTATGATAATAAATTTTAACCCTAAATTTACATATTCATACGGTAATTATCAACTTACACTGGTGTACTTATCGGGTATATCAACATGACCACACTTAATAGTTGTCTGACATGGATGCTCTTGGCAAAAAATTGTATCATTTTCTGAGTATGTATAATATGAGTCATCCGTACAAAATCTGTGTAAAAAAAAGGTATGGTGCAATAGAGAAATTCGTGAACTTATAGATTTTACAGCAAATTACACTTAAAACAGTAGCTGAACGTGTTTTGAATTACAGAGGCGTATAAACTAGCAACACAATACTCAGCAAGGAAACTGTTCTCAACATACCTATTATCAAGCTGTACAATCATATATATATATATATATTCATGGATCGATATTATCATTGTATTCCTTCGGAATCACAACGTGTGGATTTCAAATATATTCCGTTGATTGATGTGTGTAGCCCCGATACAACTACAACAAACAGGAACCAGGTTGAACCTATTTTAGCTGAGAAAAGCAGTCTCGCTCAATGGTAACCAAAGTTAGAGGACGGTTGGTTACAAGATTTCATAAAGGGGCTGACATCGGTTAGAGAACTTCTGGAAAGCCTGAAAGTAATGGAAAGCTGTTTCCGCCTTCCTGGATTGCAACTCTTCATCTGCACATTTAAAAAAATATGTAGATGTAGTTGGTCATCTCATATCCTAACGATTTCTAAGAAAGTGTTCCGTCTAGCCTACTGCACTACAGTAAGAAACTGAGACTATCTGGAATCACCCAACCTCTGCTTTCACAATTTGTCAACTCTCGTATCTTACCTATTCTACTTTACTGCTCCCCGTTAGTCTTTCTTGGGCTACTGAAAAAGGACTATACCATCCTGAGAAGGATGTTGAAGGTAGTTAGTTGGACTAGTGGTGTAAAACTCAGTTAGCTCGTCACTACATCAGTAGAAAGGCATCTGAATACATGCGAAAAATGGTCTAAAGCCATACTCTGCGACCCCCAACACCCCCTCTATTCCCAAATCTCTCCTTGTATCTCATCAGGTAGAACCAGAAATCAGTACAAAATAATATATGCTCGTACAACCAATTATACGATACCAAATTTGGCCCGTGTTCTAAGTGACAGAGACAATGTTAAGCGCAAAATCTATGACTTGCCTTGTTGTTAATAGCATAATTTTGGCTCTTTTATTTCTCTCTTATTTGTACTCTATAGTGAACACCTTCCTATACATACTTAGCTACCTAAATTATTAACATTGGCTTACTTGTTTGTACTTTACTCTATTCTTTCTTTTGTGTATCTGCTGGTTCCGACTAAATTAGAACTATGAGTAATACAAAATTGTCCTGTCATTAACCTTCATGTAACATTGGTTTTGTGTTTGTTTTTTGTTCGGCAATTTTAACTGACAATCTTGGTTGTGAACGCCATTATCACCATCCTAAAAATTTTGTATTATGCAGAATTACTCACACTACCACAACAAACACCGCATTAGAGCTGATAATGAAAAAACAACCTGAAATGTTTATTTTATGATTGTTTAGTGTTGTTCAATCAAATTAACTGATCATCTTGGCGATAAACATTCTTAATATCATTTCACAACTTTTTGTATGATTATAGCTTTATTGTTCACCACGCATAAACATATCATAGCTTCCACTACCCATTCTACTTCTTGGCATATTTTCGCATGTGTCTTTTGTCGTTGTTTTTTATATTTATTTTTTGAAATACTCCTTTTAAATGTTTGATAAAATTAGATGCAATATTGTAGATAAGTGCTGAAAATTCCACACTGTACCACTAGTACTGTTTCTGCGATAAAGCAAATTATCATTATTATTATTATTACACGCCCACCACCAGGATTCGAACTCAGAACCTTCTGGCTACAAGGCGAGCTCATAGACCATGGACCCCATCCAATGGCCCATGAATTCTCATGTCTGCCAATTCACGACATGGCGTGATTGGTAGCCAATTTCTTGATGGTTTATAAGCTCGCCTTGCAACCCGAAGTTGCTGGGTTCGAACCTCACTGGATGTGTACTGATAAAGAGTCCCAAACTAGGATGAAACAGCTGTCCATTACTCCGGTGGTGGTTTTCCAATGACTCTCTAACCGATGTGTCAGCTCATGATGAAATCCTGTAACCAGTCAATCAGATCCCTGCAAACAAATACTTGAAAATTATAGGACGGTGTTTGGCATATCTAGGTAACAGATAGGCAAATCATTTCAAAACACACTAAATCTGGCTAGCTGACATGATGGAATAAGTGGACAGGAACCTGAATTGATTTTTAATTGAATAATAAGTGAAAGCATAGTGAAGTTTCACTTTATCCGTTTTGCTTTATCAACAGAGATTTTCTACCGTGTCATTTTTCAACTAGCATATCTGATACCATGCTTAATCTATAAGTTTGTCCTATTAAAACTCAGGTACATAAATTCTGTCAAGTCCCAGATATTATTCATTCACGTTATCAATTCGACAGACATTCAGATCTCACGCACCTTCAAAATGTTTTACACAAACAGGTTAACTCTGTGCATAAGAATGTACACTTCATTTACAGTTGATTAACTTGCCTTTGAATGTAGAAATTTTTAGACATAGGCCGCCTCACAGTTAACGCTGACTGCCAAAACTTAATAGCTGGTTCTATTATTGTATCCTGTGAATGAAATGAAAGCAATTAAAACAAACGTTGAAAGTAGTGTACGTTAGCGTCTGCTGATATCTTGTCTTGTGAATTAATATAAGTGTAAGATCAATTCTATTCCCATCCTTGAATCAAGTCAACCTGTCCCGGATCAGCCTAGCGTTGTTGCAACCCAATTATCCATGCCTAACGTGTCTATCCCTGCTTGTTTAATGAACTGTGTGTATGTGTTTTTACCGCGATCCGTTTAGTAAAACAGTTGAACTCATGGCCCAATCATAGTATTTTGTGAACTGTTATTTTTTGCTGACCCATGTCTAACTTTGTACTATTCTAAACAAAATTTACCAAGGAAGGTTTAATGTGATGACAAATTGTTTTTGAACGCATAAAGGTGGCTTGAACTTTCTAATTGCTAGGGCTTCTACAAACTTTAGGATACGCCTCAAACACGTTTTATAGATAGGTTTAAAAGATCTGTCAACATCAATTTTATGACCTGTCTCTATAATATGTTTCGCAATAGAAGAGCTAGGTCTCCTGTTCTCACCGTTAATAGGTTCTGATGATTCCATTTGTTTCTGGAGCCATTTTGGAATATGCTCTGAAGCCCTTACTTGCAGAGATCGATGAGTCCTCCCTATGTATGTGTGTCCACACGTACATTCAAATTGGTAAATACAGTGGGATGTGACGTCATTTTTCGCATGTTCGAAGGGCTTAGATAGATATAATGGCTTTACATTCTCTAATATTATGATATTAGCTGCATAAAAAGTCTTTTTAACAGCAGCGTTCAGCCTTTGTCTAGTTATCAAGCTGCTTTGATGTCCCATATAGGGTAGCTTGATGTACACGTCTTTCTTAGGGGCGAGTTGGAGAGTGGGTCTTGGTGTTCTGACTACTTTATATCTCCTGATGAACTTGTCTGGATAATTGTTATCAACCAGAGTTTGTGTCAGTATTCTTTCCTCTTCATCAAGCGTGTCTTCAGTGCATATTCGTCGGATTCTACTGAAGAGGCACCTTACTAAGCCTCTTTTGTACCGAATAGGGCAGAAACTGTGGTAATTAAGATACTGTCCTGTCCAGGTAGGTTTTCTATAAATAGATCTTTTTATTCACCCATCAAGCCGTCGACTAAGCAATATATCTAGGAAAGATAAACAATTATCTTCCTCTTCTACAGATGTAAGTGATATGCTATTCTGAACTTCATTCAGTCGATTTAAAATTGAGGTGGCAGAACAAGGCTTATCACTGATGACTACGATATCATCTACATACCTTCTATAAAGTGGTACATTTCCGATTAAATTCTCCGATAAATTTTCAATGTGTGACATATAAACATCTGCTAAAAGGGGCCCTAACGGACTGCCCATAGCAACACCATCAACTTGGCGGAAACAGTCGCCTTCAAATGTAAACCTAACATTGTTAGTACATAGAAGTAATAAATCCCTTAAATAAGATATAGGGAACGGGATGAAAAAATTGTTTGTGGAAATATAATCACATAAAATGTCAACTGTTTCGAACATGCGATAAATGACGTCACATCCCACTGTATTTACCAATTTGAATGTACGTGTGGACACACATACATAGGGAGGACTCATCGATCTCTGCAAGTAAGGGCTTCAGAGCATATTCCAAAATGGCTCCAGAAACAAATGGAATCATCAGAACCTATTAACGGTGAGAACAGGAGACCTAGCTCTTCTATTGCGAAACATATTATAGAGACAGGTCATAAAATTGATGTTGACAGATCTTTTAAACCTATCTATAAAACGTGTTTGAGGCGTATCCTAAAGTTTGTAGAAGCCCTAGCAATTAGAAAGTTCAAGCCACCTTTATGCGTTCAAAAACAATTTGTCATCACATTAAACCTTCCTTGGTAAATTTTGTTTTGATACCATAGCAGATGTACTATTACCTCTGCTATTTGGTCTAGTGGTCTTCAATTTTATTTTTTGACCTTGAATATGTCCTTTTAACTTGACCTGAGTCTATTTTTCTCACCTCTTACCTCTTTATTAATTTTTTATATATATATTCCTATGACAAGTCCGTGTGTGATCAGATTGTTCGAAATGTGTTGCGCAAATACATTACACGATTCAGACAAATTACGTCTTCTTATTGCTTTACCTAAATTCATAAAGGGAACTAATTGTTTTAAATGTTTTAAATTAGTATAGCCGTGATCTGGTTCATTCCAATGTTATATAGAAATAGACTATCTGCTGTCAAGTGATTTCAGTGTTTCTTCTATACCCATTTTTCATCTTTATCATGAAATGTTTTCAAGAACAAATAAACACCTTCATTTGTAATACAAACTCTTTTTTCCTTTTTCTTCTTTCATTCATTTGCTTTCTGAGTTGAACACAGGGCTTAAAGCATGAATGTCAAAGTTTCTTAACTCTTGAGTTGCTTTTAAGCAATGAAGTTGTTAGCCTCATGCCCAATCTTCATCTTTTTTTTACTGCGTCCATTACTGGCTAGGCGAGGTTTAGGAATGCGTTGGTGAGGAATCGAACCTGTACCACGTGCGTGGTTAGTCAACCATCGACTTGCAGTCTATTTAAATAGCATTTACCTAGCCTCCATGGTTCACATAATGGTATACACATTGACTGGGTATTGGTTTTCAGGAGGACTGAGCACACCTATCCCTGCCTCTTGAGAGACGAGACTGGCATGCAGTATCATCCTGTGACCCAACCACTTGACAGCCCTCTCCCTCGGTGGATCGGGCTTCGATTCCTGGCCACCGACGCACTCCTAAACCTTGCTCGCTAAGCCAGTAATAAGACTGGTAAAGAGGGAAGGTTGGACAAGAGGCTAGTAACCCCATCCCGTAAAAATAAAACACTACTGCTGTAGAAACTTCCAGCCTCTTACTTGAAGCCCTTTGTTCCACTGGGAACATAAAGGAATAAATAAAAAAAAAGAATCTTGCCTCCATGATATTTTAAAGACACCAGTTGTCTGTGACACGTTAGGTTTCCTGATTCTGACATTCGTCGATATACTGTCAACACACTGTATAGCGAATTATTTGCCTTCTTAATCATATGAGTTATTAAAAGGGCTGATTAAACATGGTAGAGTTTACCTGTAAGTATAGTGTCAAAGTCCTTTTAGGAATAAAAAGAAATAATTAACTCATTGAAAAAGCAGAAATTCCATTATAAACAAATGCATAGTAATACCTACTTTTAATTCTTGACTGTTAGTTAATTTATTAAACTCCGCCGTGTACTCCGCTTGTATTCTGAGTAGCTGTGGTGTTGGCTTTGCACGACGTTCAAATGAATTCGATGGATACATGATGGCATGTCTCTGTATACGAAGTAAATCAGAGTTACCAGTTATTAAACGTTACCAAGGTGAAATTAACTGGTGTCCCACAAAAGCCAAAACATTCCAAATTTTTCTCAAAAAGTATCAGGCATATAAAGGAGATAATGACTTTCACGACGGTCATGGTGAAACAGTTTATTAAGAAATTCCTGTTTTTCTATATATATATATATATACAGCAAATGAAACTGCATCTCTGTGAGTCTAGGCGAATAACACACTTCGATCATATTTAGTTTTAAAACCATATGAAATGAGTTAATAGACAAAAAGTGTTGTTTGTAGCCTGCTGTGCACCAAATTTGAAATTAACTAAAATAAAATGATTTTACAATCCAAATTTTCCAAAAAATAGTTCCTTTGATTTTGTTGACACTAAATAAAGTCATTAAAAGAAGAAGAAAGGCTATTGTCCATGAAAAAAAACACGGTTGAGAAAAAAATTCATTTTCGAATGACAATACCTGTACAGCTGTAAAATCATACTGGCATATAGTTAAAGAAAGAAGAAACACTAAAGTGTACATCCTTGGCAAATAACCTAACAAGTGGACAACAATGTTCCGTCGACTACTGACTAGACAACTTTCCATCAAAAGAACTAAGCTCTTGGTGTGGTGAGAGCAGGCTGCTAGCCGATTGGTTGGCACTAATCTACGTTAAGGTCTATGTCACTAATATGGGCCGTGAGAAAATATGAACAAGCCTGAGTCAACAACCAATCACAGCAAAGTTAACGTGGCAAAATATGATTCGCAGAGAGAACTCTATTTGTCAAGGAATCCCGAAACAACCAATCAGAAGCCTGCGTTTGTCTACCTAAACAACCAATCAGATGACTGCGCTTGTCTATAATAATGTAGTTGAAAGATGTATAAATACGTGTTGATTTTCATAATAAAACGATCTGTTGCCTGGCCCTTGTCTTCTGTTGTTACATTGGGAGATTTAAGTACTTCAGAAAGGGTTAAATTTCAACGTTACAGTTAATGAACTGAAACCAAGGGATATCATTCCTAAAACACAGGCAACATCATGTTTAATAGATAAAACGACAGCAAAAAAGGTTGCAACACAATGTATATTAGCACTAAACACAGCAAAACGAAGTACAGAAGTACCTAACAAAATCAGAAAAGCCAGCTCTAATGAATCTCAAACAAGATAAAATCATTGTCATTAAAAAGACTAATAAGGCAAACTCAACAGTAATTATGGATAAGTCCTATTACAACAACAAGAAAGTCATTACCCACATTACAACGAGTCTTTATAAGTAAATTAAGAAGCTTGTAGATGCAGTAATGAATAAGATTAAGAAATCTTCAGCAGATTTACCATGCAGAATGAAGTCATCACTGAGTGAGTCTAAATGGTGCAATTTAATGCCCCAGTGAAATACATAAACCAGGTTACTTCATAATTGATTAAATCAACCTATACTAGTGAAATGTTCATTTGGTGTTTATTTCAATAATTAAACACTAGAGGCATGGCGGCTGACATGAGTGACTTCCAACAACTCATCTTAGTCAATCAGATGTTTCATCTTGTTTAAAGATGTAATTATAGATAGCTAATTTCAACTGTGATTCATATGTGCAAATTCTGTAGGTTTTTGAAATACGGAATGCTCGAAATTTTGGTGATTAGAAAACATATAAAAAATATATAGGCATTGAGGGGGTTATTATAATCCGTAGAATGAGAGATCGTATGAGTACGACAAACGAATAGAAATAATTTAAAGCGAATTTAAGGATAATAAACGATTGCAGCAACCTCGCCAGTTACTAGCTTGCTAGGCTACTAGCTTACTAGTTTTCTAGCCGGTCCCAAGCCCGGGTAAAGAGGGAGGGTTGGGGCGTGGTGCTAGCAACTCCACCCCTGTAAAACAACCAAATCGCTACAGAAACTTCAACGAATAAATATATTAAAAATTCTAAAAACATAAGCAATAGCCTTACTTTTCGCTGGAATCGGGGAAGTGAAATGACGCAGGCTGGTGAAAGCCTTCGGGAAGCCAGTCAGCCGATGTGCCTTCTTTCGATGAAAGCAAAAGTAAGGATGGGTACCTGGAATGTTCGTACAATGTACGAAACTGGAAAGGCTGCCCAGATAGCCGCTGAAATGAGAAGGTACAGAATAGAAGTGTTGGGAATCTGCGAGAGCAGATGGAACGGAACTGGAAGGTGCCAACTACCTACTGGAGAGACAGTAATCTATTCCGGCCACCCAGAGGACAACCATGAGCACACCGAGGGAGTGGCCATCATGATGTCACCAACAGCAACCAAAGCTCTCATGCAGTGGGAACCAATCTCCTCCAGGATAATGACAGCCAGGTTCAACTCAAAAGGAAGGAAAGTTACAGTCATTCAATGCTATGCGCCTACAAACGTCTCAGAACAAGAGAAGAAGGAGGCGTTCTACAGACAACTACAAGCAATAATGGACAACGTCCCAAATGGCGATATCAAAATCCTGATGGGCGACATGAATGCGAAGCTGGGAGGAGACAACACAGGAAGAGAACTCACCATGGGTCGTGAGGCCCTCGGCGAAATGAACGACAATGGTGAACTCTTCTCAGACTTCTGCGCCTTCAATGATTTGGTGATTGGTGGTAGTGTGTTCAAACACAAGGATATACACAAGACGACATGGATTTCACCAGATGGAAACACCAAGAACCAAATAGACTTCATCTCAATTTCAAGAAAGTGGAGACGGAGCCTACTGGACACAAGGTCAAGGAGAGGAGCAGATGTGGGTTCAGACCACTATCTAGTACAAGGGACTTTCAAGGTGAAACTAAAAGCCTCGAGGATAGCTGGGGATAGGCCACAATGCAAGTTCAACACTCAATTACTGAAGGACACAACCACAAAAGACACCTTCACTGCAACTGTCAGAGCAAAGCAGGAAACACTACGCGACATCACTGAAGAATCATGCGTGGAAGAACATTGGAAGTCTCTGAAGGCGATTCTCAACGAAACGTGTTCAACGGTTCTAGGAAGAAAGAAGAGACAAGACAAGGAATGGCTCTCAACGGACACTTGGAAATTAATAGAAGAGAGGAGAATGGTGAAAGAGAAAATGATTCAATGCAAGGACGGACAGGAGAAGGAGACGATGAGCTCAACTTACAAAGCATTGGACAAAGAAGTGAAGAAAAGTGCTAGGAAGGACAAAAGACGATTCTACGACAATCTAGCTACTGAAGCTGAGAAGGCAGCAGGCAAAAGGGACCTGAGGACACTATATCAGATAACCAAATCTCTATCCGGGAAGAGACCAACACAAGCGAAACCTATAAAAGACAGCCAAGGGAAGCCCATTACCAAGGAAGAAAAACAGATTAAACAATGGGCGGATCACTTCAAAGGACTCTTGAACCGACCATCACCTGCAACCCGTCCAGAAATACCAACAACAGCGCGCACACAACTGCAAGTTGACACCAATCCTCCAACGAGAGCTGAAGTCTTGAACGCAATCAAGCTTCTGAAAGCTGGAAAAACAGCCGGACCAGATGGAATACCCCCTGAAGCACTGAAAGCAGACCCAGAGACGACAGCAGACATGCTGACTCCATTATTGCAAAAGGTCTGGAAGGAGGGAAAGGTGCCTACTGACTGGAGGAAAGGTTACCTCGTGAAACTACCAAAGAAGGGCGACTTAGGACTCTGCAAGAACTGGCGAGGAATCATGCTCCTATCGACGCCAAGTAAAATCCTGAGTCGCATCATCCTGGAGAGATTAAAGGACGCACTGGAGACAGAACTCCGACCAGAACAAGCTGGATTCAGGAAAGGCAAATCATGTACTGACCAAATTGCAACTCTACGCATCATCATCGAACAAAGCATGGAATGGCAATCAAACCTCTACCTCAACTTTATAGACTTTGAGAAGGCCTTCGACAGCGTTGATCGTGAAGTAATTTGGAAATTACTCGAGTACTATGGCGTACCCCAAATATTCATCAACCTTATTCAACAGCTGTACGACAACGGCACATGTCAAGTGATCCACAACGGAAGACTCAGCGAGGCGTTTGGAGTAAACACAGGAGTCAGACAAGGGTGCTTATTATCACCAATGATATTCCTAATTGTGGTGGACTGACTGGATTATGCGTCAGACAGTGGGAAACGAGAAGACAGGAATATCCTGGACCGACGTGAAGAACCTAGAAGACCTGGATTTCGCGCGTGGATGATTTATGTTTGATGTCACACACAATCGAAGACTTACAAGCGAAAACCGACAAACTGGTCGAAGAAGCAGCGGCGAAGACAGGACTCCAGGTAAACATAGACAAGACGGAGGTTATGAAAATAACCAACCAACCAACAACAGCAACAACATCCAACGTCAATCACCATCAACGGGAGGGATTTGAAAGAGGTTACTTCATTCACACACTTATCTAGGGAGCATTGTCTCAACTACAGGAGGAGCGGACGAGGATGTCAAATCGAGCGAGAATCGGGAAGGCGAGAAACACATTCATCAGCCTGAAATCAATCTGGAAATCTTCGTCACTCAGCATCACCAACAAAATTCGGTTGGATTTTCAATACAAACGTAAAGTCAGTCATCTTCTATACGGATCAGAAACTTGGCGGGCGGGTCACAAAGAATATTTCCAAAAGGCTGCAGACCTTTATTAACAACTGTCTTCGCTCTATACTGAAGATCAGATGGCCGGAAAGAATCACCAACAAGGAATTATGGGAACAAACAAACAAAACAAGAACCAATCGCCAACCAACAAATATGCAGGAGAAAGTGGAGATGGATCGGACACTCGCTGAGGAGACCGCTGGGTGACATCGCGCGTCAAGCCCTCGAGTGGAACCCGAAAGGGAAGCGGCGTGTGGGACGTCAGTGCAAGGGTGACATGGAGGAGATCGTGTGAAGAGGAGTTGAAAGAATATGGATTAACATGGATGCAG